GGTCTCCTTCAAATATACATATAACTAAATTTATTAAAGTAAATTTTTAGAAAGGTATTAATACATATTCCGCGTACAATGCGTTAATATAGCCAACAAGTAAAGCGCGGAATTGATCGCAAATTGTCATTTTTCAACGTTATCGAAGTTAGAATTAGAGGAGAATTAGAATCAAATTTGTATTCGCTCGAAGAATCGTTTCTGTAAAACGATCGATCGCTTGTTATTTTGTTTACAGTGAATTCTGATCGTCGGACGTATGCGTGCGACGAGAGGGTGGGGGTTGTCGGAGTGCGCGGAACAATAATTAAAAGTACATTGGCAATCGAATTAAATTTCGAAAGGTTGTCGGCGTCGCGTCTGCGTAAACGTTTTGGTCAATTTAATTATCGAAGATTGAAATTTTAGAAATGTTCAGAGGCCGGCGTGGATTTCGTCGGCGGTGTTTTCGTGCGTGTAAATGATTGGGGGCGAGCGAAAAACGAGCGAATTATAACGATTTCAAAGAAAAATAAGATGAGCGTTTCGTGATCGCTCGTTGCGCGTTCGCGTATACAGGCGAAAATGATTAATAGATATTTATGAGAAAAATGATATAAATATCTGTAAAACCGTCGTGGCATTCAACGTGTTAATGAACAACCGCAATGAATGACGTATATTATACATACAGTCTGAGACGGCTGAATTGTTTCGTTCGCCTCGATAACGAGTTCCGTTTGCACAACGTGATCGTGATCCCGGGGCAAACACTAATATGGTCGGCGCGATATAAACTCGCGTCGTTCGGCGGCGGCGTCGGCGGCGTGTAATTTGCCCAAACAATCGAGCAATCCCAAAGTCATTCACACTTATCGCGGACCACCCGCGTGGTCGGCCCCGGCAAAGGAAAAAATCTCCGGGTCCCGAGAGCCTTTAAAGACTTTGAAACAACATATACCTGCCGTACACCTGCCGCGGCGAGAGCAAGAGTTTCGGTGTTTGTACAGAATTAGTAGAAAGGCGACTTTTCCAGACGGGGCCGGAGGAGAGAGACCGGGAAACGAAGGAAAAGGCCGGGAAAGGAAACGGGCTCTCTCGGGCCTAAAGCACTTCGTCCGCGTGTTTGGAAAGAAGCACGACGACTGTTTGCGGACTCTATCCCCCGTGATTGCATCGATAGAATGCCAGAAACACGGACGACAGGTGTTCGGATAGAACAAACGTTCGGACACGATTAAAGGAAATGTCCCAGGTCGCCGGTCTACACGAAATTATATTCGTTAGTGTTGCCGTTAACACGTTATCGTTCGGATGACTAAAAATAGTCATTTTCTTGACCGCTCGTGAAACGCCGGGGAACTAGAAATAATCGAAACTTGATAAAAAAAACTTAATAGTACAAATTTTTCTTCTTTTTTTTCTTTTCTGAAATAAGAATCCCTTTTTTTGTCGATTATGATTTTTCACGTGTTTTAACATGCTTTAAAAATTGAAAGAAACGTAATACATATATGTATTGTTTCGGTGTTTCTTTTTTTTTTTTAGAAACACCTATATATTCTCTTTATTTTGTATTTCTTCTTTTAAATTCTAAAAACAATTAATTAGAACATTAGAATATATTTCTTCTTTTTAAAAAAAATGGGTCAGCTTTCTAGTGTACGTGTTTTCTTGAAAATAAAAAATCCAATGGTAAAATTTATTTCATGTAATTGAATCCAAATAAAATCTTTTTTGCATGAAACGACATATCTTATAATTTAATTTAACTGTCTGATATTTTATATGTTATATCAATTTTCGTAAAGCGATGCAACAATTTTAAAACATGCCTGACCTGGTACGAGAGAATACGTTAAATATTCATGTGTACGTGGACATTTGATAATACGACGATATTTTGATAATTATCATGACATCATAATTATCATACATCGTATTAATGTATTTCGATTAATATATCGAATGGACCGCATGAAAGTTTTTTCGTTAAGGCAATCGCGTTGCAAACGTTGAACTGATAAACGGTTCGTTAATTCATGTTTCCAACGAAATTGTTCCATTACGTTTGCTCGTCAAAAAATTGATGATCATTTTCGTGTTTTCAATAAACTAATTCATGCGTTACGTGAAAAATTCATTATCGTAATGAACATTTTACATTGACTAACGTAAAGATATTTACTTTCATGACGAATGTAAATTCATTTCATTAACGAACGCACGCGTAAACTGATCGTACAAATTTATTATGTTAATGTGAAACACTCTTGTATTCGATGATCTTTTTACTAAAAATTTATTGACAAATAAATGACAAATAATTAATTCACAAATAATTAATAATACGAACAACGTTTTTCTCACCGCGAAAGCATAAAATTATACGAACAATTTAGCCATAGGCCATTTAACCAACAGGTTAAATATAATATACTATAATAAATTTCGTTTAATTGCGGTGCTCGATATAATAATTAACACGCGAATTGTGTTTACACTGTATCGTTGCATTAACAGTTGAAATTATTGCATTGACATTTCCGGTTTTGTATTCGCCTAGATTGTTGTTAATATCGAAGTAACTACAATATTCCTATTATTCCTATTTTCTTTCATTTTTCTATTTTCACGGTATAATTTGCTTGCTAGACGAGTCTCATGTAATTCGATCTCAATTAATCGATTGCCAGCTGGTTCGAACTGAGTGACCATAACCGATTACTGGGATCGCAGAGTGTTTGCAGAGAAAAGGAAAAACGGAGAAAGAAAACAAACGGTTCGAACGGAATTCTGGGAGAACGGCGGTAGCTCCGGGATGCGGGCAATATGTAAATGTCAACATGGAATATTAAAAACATTTAACAGAAGCATGTCACGGGATTGGGGAGGGGGAGAGGGGGTGGGATCTGACGATAAAATGAATCGAAAGATCGTTGCAGCAATATCGAGAAGACAAATTGTACTTGCCGAGGCTCGATTTAAAAATTCGCATTAGCAGATCAAATTTCAGTGGTGATCTCATAAATCTGTGGCTATTAGGAAGTGGGAATTTCAAAAAAATGTGTGTTGATACGTTAATCGAATTGTAGCATATAGGACTTCCGCATTTATTGGAGAATCGTGAAAACAGATTCTATAGACCGAGAAAGATTATGCATTTTGAAACACAACTGAATTAGCAATGGTGATCGAAACTTCGAGCGATAATATCTCGGAAGTTAGAACACGATGATTTGCCGCGTTCTTCCTTGCAGCCACAGAATTGTCGAGGCGTAATTCATTAGGTCCTAATTTATTAAGAATTGGCGATGCTATTTGCAATTTCAATGATAGGAAATGGAAGGTTTAGAAGCGCGAGCGGGGACTCTTAAGTAATTAGACGGGAGATCAGCGGAATATCCGAAACGCCGAAGGTAACAACGGAGGTATTGATTTTCAGCGTTCGTTTAAATCGAGTCGGACAAGCGTGAGGAACGAATGATGATTTCGAATGTGGGATGAAGCCGTTTGATCTTCGCTGGCTCCCTTCCGCCTTGTTACGAGACCCCGCGCGATGAATACGAGAGCGCGCAGGTAAAACGGGCTTATCAATTAAGCGCCGTGTCCGTTCTGACAGAAATAGAGGTCTCTTGATCATTTTGCGATGCAATAACGAGAAACTCGTACACGGACGTGCGACGGTTCCAATACCAAACGACAAGATGTCGTTGAAAACACTTCGTTGAAAGAGAAGATTTCTTATTCGTGGCTGTGCTCAACTCTGCAACGATTTTCGCAAATTAATCTAGGATTGAAAAATGCGAAGCAAAGTCCGTTTGTCTTCACGATTCAAGGCAGCTTTTTGGAGAATATTTTAGACTGCTAATTTTTAGGCACTTCTAGCGGAGTTGGGCAAAAAGTAATCCGATCGAATAACGATTATAATTAGTTAGTTACATATAATCATTTATAAATTATTGTTACGAATTCAAAATTCTTACGAATCAGTTATAATAACTGACGAGCGATGACCAATCTGTAATAATTTATGATAACTAACGAGTTGTAGTCGTTAATTATTAATCGGATTATTTTCAAAAATTACAATCATAACCGAACGAAGATCACCAATGTTTCCATAAAATTCTAAAAATACACTAGTTCGCGGATCTTTGCACAAATTTCTTTCACAAATCGTTTTGTATCGAATTAACTTCGTTTTTTTTGTCGTTTGAACATTTTCTTCTTAACACTTTACTCAACGGAATCCTATCAACCCCTTTGCACTATGATTTCTTTCGCAGCTGTGCTAATCAACGCTGCTTCATTCGGAATAATTTTCCTAAAAGAACGATACAGTTATTGTTTTTTTTATATGTCTGCATCTACATTTATCCCCGAATGTTAATAACCGAAGAATCAAATTTATTAATTTATTTCGATTTAGAAGAAATGTATAAAAATGTCCGAGGAATCAAATTCGATTTCGATTATATACATATAATATAATTTTAATTTTTTATAATATGAAATTCATATCCAGTCGGTTATGTATGAAATCTACGTCGCAAGTCTGACACGTTGTCATAGGATGCAAGGGGTTTATAGACTACAGTAAATTCTCCCGAATTTTCCTTCAGCTTGTAAGCAAAAATGGACAATTTGGGAAGAAGAGATACGATCGTTCGAGCCTCGTGTGACTCATTTTTATAGTTTCCGATTGTCAACAATTATAAAAACAAGATGCAAGGCTCGAATAATCGCATCAACTCTTCCAAAATTGTCCACTTTTGTTTACAAGCCGTAGGAAAATCAGGGAGAATTTACGATATTTAATCGCTGAGGCTGCATGTAAAAGAAGTTCGATAATTTTCTTTTAGATAACAATTTCGATACGACTCCAAATAATTTATCGTATTGTTATAGATGTTACATTAATTCGTGGCTAAATCGTTTTCCTATCGTTGAGCGAGAACGAGGGGTGGGTGGTTTTAAGCGGGCAGGCCCCCTTCACGATCGACTCTTTCCAATTTCAGGTTTGGTTCAAGAACCGCCGCGCAAAATGGCGTAAACAGAAGCGAGAGGAGCAGGAACACATGCGGAAGCTACAGTTGGAGCAACGTCAGCGTGCCGACGACAGCGTGCCGGTGAACACCGTCAAGGTCGCGGACCACATGCTACTGAGCAGGCAGCAACAACAACAACAGCAACAGCAACCGGAACAGGACACCGACAGTTCAGACCTCGAAGTAGCGTAATCGGAACGTAGATGTTAGATTCTTTTTTTTTCACTGGCTGTCCGGAGGATCCGAAGAGGAGGTTTCCACCCTTTTTACGGCACAGACATGTAAATATGGAAAACTAGGGTGTAAATACGTTTGTACATATAGCTTACGTTCGATGTGTATAAATAGACAGTGAAATAAATTATTGAAACAAAAATGCGGTTCTAATGTATTTCTGCCTACGGCGGAATTATCGTAGAAATATTTCGTACGTACAGATTAAACAACGTGCACGAATTACAGTAATATGTCTCCCTAATTGACGCTCAGATTGCACAGAAAAATGGACAATTTCGGAAGAGAAGTAACTTGCAATTCGTTCTTATAGTTACCAATTGAGCCGTTTATTTTGAAAGTGGCATAAGTCACTTTACCGTAATGAAAAGTGGTGATTTTTTAATGTTTATACGAAATTATTTATACTGAGAGAAATATCAGTATCCTGAGATAACAAATACAAGTAAATCTTCGCGAAAGTTAGCATCCATATTTTGAAACGTGTTAAAACGCAAACCCTTAAATATATCGACTTAGAAACAAAGTGACTTATGCCGCTTTCAAAATAAACGACTCAATTGTCAAGGTTATGTCAAGGTTAAATATTATCTCCTCTTCCCAAATTGTCCACTTTTGTGTCCAATCTGAGCGTCAATTAGGGAGACATTACTGTATTGTCGATGCGTCTGATAGCAGAAACAATGAACCTCTTCCAATTGTGTATTCCAATCTTTACGTTAGATCTTGATGATCCAATCGGTTGATCTATTGGTTCGCGTAGAGTGTTATCATTTTCCTTGTATCATTTCTTTCACAGCTTAGATAACTATAATTTATTGACGATCTTTGGTAAGATAAAGAAAATATAGATTTATCGCATGGTCGCATTTTACAGCATTTTTGCTGTTGTATCTTCTTAACCGAGAAATGGAACCTTATTTCAGTTTATAGGGATAATCTTATCTAGAGTCTTCGCTATATATATATATATATATATCTATATATATGATTTTTTCTTTTTTAACACGTTCAGCGCCACGTCGGTCAAATATGGGTGACACTAACTTTTAACCAATTGAAAATTCATTTTCATTGTAATATATTCGAGCAAACTGAATTTGACTAGAATGTTTCGGATGCGAAGGAGTTCTAATATCATCCACTATGATAAATTTTCACTTTCTAGTTTCGGTTCGATTAATTAAATTTCTTTGATTTTGTAGGTATTTTAGTGGTCGATTGTGGGCACTGAATGTGTTAAAGGAATTGATAGAACGTTTTGATCTTTTGCAAACGTATCCTTTTCTCAAGTCTCGATGTACTTGAAATTATAGAAGCTCCCTCGAACAAGACCTAAAGGCCTCGCAGGACCCGTTAATTTCAATTAAATAGTGAAAAATTCGAACACACCGTTCGAAATCACGATTGCTAATCAGTGGACTGCGGATCTTTGTGCGTAGACTACGGATCTCCGCGAAATAAAAATTGTCTGCATCTGTTACAGAAAGGTAGGAGTAGCTTAAAAAGTTTCATTCTTATCTTAATAATTTTCACATCGACGTTAAACGTAACGTATCGATGTCGTTGAATGTTTTTTCAATCTTTCAACCGTCTCCCAAGTACATTTATTTTTCTCATAAATTCATAAAAAACCTATTATTTATGGCAAATAAACATTCTCTACATTGACTGCAAGATGCAGGAGCTCGATGGACATTTGTCTCTTTTCTTAATCATTTTAATCCGTTGAATGAGATAATACAATGGTATCGCCGTCTCAAATTTGATCCACTCATTTTTCTCACAAATGCATCAAATCCGCGATCCGCTGATTGATCGGACACGACGTTATTATAGATCGAAGCTATAAAAAAAAAAAGAAAAAAAGAATCGAAAGCGATTTGAAAGTTGCCCGCCGTGCCAATATGTGCACTAATCACCGGGAAGAAATGATTTCTTGCGAGCGGTTCCCGGCAAATATTTGAGCTGAAAAAGTCCCGCGGCACGGCTCTCGGGCCACCCGGTACACCGAATGTAATCTCGTTGCAGAATGGATCAGTGATTAAAATCCCTCGGCAGACTGGCGTCGCGGTGGCCGGAACTTAGTTCCACGTGCCTCGACGATTATATTATTAGTATTGTGCGATAGGGGTGAAAGAGCGCCTGGCTTGAGTACCGGTAACTCATGGACACCGCAAGTTCGCCGAGTTTCCGGCGCAAGTTCTGGTAAGTACATAAATCCCGAAGGCGAACTAGCAACTAAGACGGTGTTCTCGGCGGTGTGCAAGTTTAATAGATTCCGCGCCGCCGTCGCTGCACTGAGACCTAAATACGATCGACTTAAACGCGGCTTCTTTTATTTCCAAGAAGGAGAGAAAGAGAGAGCGCGTTTTTTCCCCTCAATTATTCAAAGTCGCCAACTTTCGCCGCGGCAGCCGGACCCTATTTCAAACTGTTTGCTCGTCGGACCTCTTCCTCGGAGTTTTCGATCAGCCGGGGGGATTCGCGAACACATTTTTTCCAAAACTTTTCACTTAGTAGAACGTTCCGCTCGGTTAAGGGACCGAAAAAACGTCACCTTCGCGAATAGTTTTTCTCAAATACTGCAAGACTCTGTTTAACGCTGGGTTTAGGGAACCCGTAGAAACGACGGGTCGCGCTCATTTTTTAACCCTTTGCGCTCCGAAGCTTTCTCCGATATTTATATATCGATATGTTTTACTCGTCTTCATTATTTATTACTATGTATTATTATACGTTATTATAATATACCAAAGATTAGATTGATATCGAAATCATTATGCTGCTGTGAAATTTTATAAGAACTAATAAATAAAAGATTTTCTGTTTTCATTTATGTATTTTATTCGATCACCTTGCAGCATCAACGATTTAGCGTCGCCGTATCGGCGACACGTGGGTGCAAAGGATTAATTTATGTTTATTCGCGTTGTAAAGATACATTTATGAATGATTTATTCAATATATTTGTTATTACTTGCGGCAAATAATACGATAGCATTCGTCCAGAATCGGAATAAATGTCTGATCGTTACTTTAATAAACGAACATGAATCTTTCTACATCGAGAATTACATATCTCGAAGAGCATTTCAAAATTTGTCTACTTAAGATGCGATCGATCTCACCGAAATCTCGTTGAAAAGATGGTTGCGAGATAAATTGCGATAGCACGGACCACCCTCTTGACGTTTCCAAATGAAAAACAAAAACTTGCAATTTCGTTAACACGTTGGAAACTACCTTATTTTTTCAGCAAAAGTCAGTCGTGTTTTATTACATGGAAATACAATCGCCGTCGCAACGCCGAAAATTGACTATACAATTGATTAAATTGTTTTTCAGTCGGAAACCATTAAACCTTTTTTTTTTTTTTAATAAACAGTCCGCGCGGAACTTGGCGCAATTTCGCGTTTCCGTAAAAAGGTTTTCAAGGAATAGTCGAGCTTTATTCTCTGCGCTATAGGTCGCAGTCGAATATTTGATATGCGCTATAAAAACATAAATATTTCGTAGTTTAATTGAAACGCACACGGCACAGTTATGGACGGCCGCTGTTCGGCATCGCTTGCGACAGGTATAATTGTGAACGTCCTTCGGGAAGGGACGCGCCTTTTACGATTTTTTCGCGAAACGTTTAATGTGCACATTTTTCGTGAAACTGGAGAATAATGCATTAAATGGCAGTTCTCCCTCTGTTACATGCATTTTCTCCGACTGTCGGCACAAAGCTCGATTAACCGGGGAACTTCCGTACATGGAATATTACAACTCTTCCTAATAAAGTCCTTCAATAAGAAGATCGTTGTTTTTCTACCGTTTCGTAGCTGCCGAAAGTGCGAACAGCCCTTAAACCATGCTGTCTTATCTTCGTAACTGGAAACTCGATGTTTCTGTGAAAATTTAACAAAGGACCTCGATTATCCGGACCAAGTAGAGCGACACGACTGTTCGAATATTGAAATAGTTGCTTACTTAAAATGCTAGATTATAATTTTATTCGCTTCTACGGTGAATCATTTTGCATACGGGTTGCCTTAGACTCGGCTGATATAATATATAATATGTACTGATAAACATATTTGGACAACGGGGAATACGGTAGAAACTCGATTATCCGGATCACCAATGTTTGACTTGTTAATTATTCCGATGCGTTCCAAGTAACAAACAGTTCGATCTAAGATGCAGGATCTTTATGCGGATCTTTGTGTAAAATGAAACTTTTGCGCATCGATTTATGCATCGTCTTGAATAATTTTAACGAGTTACAAATAATATAATCAAATTGCTAAATTCATTACCGATATAAATGTAACAGTGTTATAATAAATGCATAAAATCTACGAGTCCAGTAATTATACAGCACGATAAAAATGTCAGTAATTGTTCCATTATCCGAACATTTAAGTCTCCAAGACTGGTCCGGATAATCGAGATTCTACCGTGCTTCGTGCTTACAATAATTCACAGTTACAAGAGATTCAAAATTTGCGAAACATCGAGGAGACTGCACGGATCTTTATGCGGACTAACAACGCGGCAATAATCTCGACAAATCGGAAACAATCGACGGAAATACCGAAGTTCTTCTGCCAATTTTACGGTCTCGCGTTTCACCCGGTGATCTTCGCCGTAAAAGCAAAAAATCCGCAGTCCACCGACACAAAAGATTCCAGCGAGCCGATTGTAAAATTTGCGACACCGGCGACGACTCAGTCAGCACCCCCCTTGCAGCACATCTTATCGATGGTCTTCGCAGTCTCCTGTCTTCGGGTCTTCCACTTTCTCATCTGCTTCTTCTTCTCTTCGTCGAAGGGACACTCGATCTTGGCGATCCTCTTGTCCCTCTTCTTCTCCGGCCTGCCGATCGGCAGCGTGGTCGGGCCGACTTCGATCACCTTCAGTATCTCGATGGGATTGACGGCGAACTGGCTGCACTCGGGCGATCCGACGGTGAGCACCAGCACGGTGATGAACTTGTAGAAATACGTAGCCCGGAGCAAGTACACGGCGCCCTCTCCGTAAGAGAACAACGGTGGGCCGACGGAATTCACGTCGCAAACGTAGTAAGAGCCGCAGAACTTGAAGATGCCGAGACAGGAGCTCTCGCAAGTCAGGATGCCGAATTTGTATTTGAGGAACATCTGCTCGAGCGTCTGCCAGAGGTATCTGTGAATCGATTACGGCACGGTAAAGAATTAATTTACAGGGTGTCCCAAAAATGTCTCGCAATCCGGAAATGGCGGGTTCCTCGGATCATTTGAAGCAACTTCTTCCTTTACAAAAATTTTCTCCGAGGCACCGTTAACGAGTTATCAACGAAAAACAGTGACCAATAAGAATCGAGTACGGCTGGCGCGAGGCGGCCCAGTCAACCAGCGCACGAAGATGGCTCGGCCGCCTCGCGCCAGCTGAGCTGGGATTCGACCGCCTCGACCGCTGGCGCCGTTGGCTCGGCCACCTCGCGTCAGCCGTACTCGATTCTTATTGGTCACTGTTTTTCGTTAATAACTCGTTAACGGTGCCTCGGAGAAACTTTTTGTAAAGGAAAAAGTTGCTCCAAACGAACTGAGAAACCCGCCACTTTCGGATTGCGAGACATTTTTGGGACAGCCTGCATAACATATATTAGGCATATAATAAGCAGATATACAGGGTGTCCCAGCATCGATGGTACAACCGAGGAGAGGGTGATTCCACATAAAGAAGACAAATCGAAAATAAGAATTAACATTTTTTCATTCGTGGCTTCGTTGTCGAACGCGTACTCGCCGAATATTCGAAGTCGATTATCTCGGTAACGAAACGCTCGACCGACAAAATTTTATTTTTTATTTTCGGTTCGTTTTTCCACGTAGGATCACCCACTCCACCGTACCGTCGATGTTCTCTCGGTTTTCTCTTAACCCTCTGAATCGAACTTTCGCAGTTCCGTTCGTTCCGACTTCGCTCTTAGCGATCTCTTTTTTCACGTACCTGCACGACTTGGAGTAGAGCCTGCCGCAGATGGCTGGCAACACGTTCGCTTCGAACATGGTCTCGCCGATGGTGAAATGGCTGGTCAGGTACCTGTTCCAGCAGTTCACGTGGCTGTACTCGTTCTTGGTAGCCTTGAACTGGGCCTCGAGCTTGCTGTGCGTGTAGTAGCGGTCGCCGCACATCGCGATCACGTCGAGGGTCTTCGAGCTCCAATATTCGGGAGCCATGATTCTGGTCATGCCGGCGCATACCACGTAGCAAGCGTAGGTCTGCATGCCGCGATTCTCCCTGTCGAACATCCCGTCGGTGATGTGCAGCTCTCCCCAGAGGGAGAACAGCTTGTTCGACTCCTCGACGACGTACTGGTGCCATCGCATCTTCCCGTTGCCGGTGTCCTTGCTCTTCTTCTTCTGGGCGACCGGCGTGCACTTGGCCCAGGTGATCTTGTACAGCTTCAGCCAAGTGGGCTTCTCGATCGCGTCTCTGATGTCGCCCTCCTCCTGCTCGATCATGCAGGCGTCTCTCGTGTCCAGAGGATCGAAGGGACAGTCGTCGATCGTCTTCATCTTCACCAGCCGTTGCGCCGGCTTCGGAGCCATTCGCTGGAGCAGCCTCAGGTTGTGGATCTGGCAGCAGAGATGCGTCACCTGGAATATCTGCACCGTGTAGCACTCCTCCTCCCACGGCGGGCCCTCTTCGGGTTCGGCGATCGCCGGTGCGTCCTCCGCGAGCAACACCGGCTCCGTCTTGGCAGTCGCCTCTTTGTGCTTCTGCATGGTGGACTTCGGGACCTCGTAGACGTAGGCCCTCAGCGTCAGTATCATCAAGTGCCGCCTGAGAATAGCGATGGAATCGACACCGATGTTATCGATGATATTCGATCGATTCCATATCGATCCATATCGGTTCGTTTTTGTGAAAACTTGGAGCAAAATTGCAGCGGCCAGCGCGTCGGTGTACATTAATACGAGTACACAGTAATGCTAGAATAAAAATGGTGACCTAACTTTTTACTTCTAATTTCTTGCCACGATTCGGAGGCGATTCGGTGGCCACGTGTCACGATTCGACGGTCACGTACCTAGTACAGTAAATTCTCCCTAATCGATGTTCAGCTTGTACGCAAAGATGGACAATTTGGGAAGAGGAGATACGATTATTCGAGCCTTGCGACTCGTTTCATGTATGTAGTTGTTGACAACCGGTGGCTATAAAAATTGAGACGCAAGACTCGAATAATCGTATCTCCTCTTCCTAAGTTGTCCGTTTTCGTGCACAATCTGAGCGCGAATTAGGGAGAATTTACTGTACTAGGTACGTGACCGTCGAATCGTGACACGTTGCCACCGAATTGCTTCCGAATCGTGGCAAGAAATTAGAAGTAAAAAAGTTAGGTCATCATTTTTATTCTAGCGTTACCGTGTACTCGTATTAATGTACACCGGCGCGCTGGCTGCTGTATTTTTGCTCCGAGTTTCTACAAAAACCAGCCGCGAGACCCGACGAATCGCGATATAGTATTCTCAGATCGGTTTCAGTTCCGACCTCCGAACATTTCTAGGAGAAATTACTGTATCGATTCTGTTTGTACCGTTTTTTCTTTTTTATACAATTCAGTATTGGATCGAAATCTGTCAACTCTCCCACCAATCCAGTCAGTTCGATCGGAGAGACTTTGAAAAATAAGCAAACTAAAGTCGTCACATTATTTCTCTATTATTCCATTGTTCTATTGTTCCATTGGTTAGGGACCAATGGATTGCGGATTTTACGTATTTGTAATCAAATGAAGCATGTACAATTTAAAATGGTGAGGAGATCGAATGGAATTAAAAATTCCGAATCATTTTCGATCGATTGAAATGATCGCGAAGAAAAGAATAACACTCTATGTGGTTTCCATTTCTTGCATTGAGTGGGTTAGAATGATAACGGCGCAAGTCACATTTTTCTCACTGTGAAAAACAATAAGTGTTATTATATATATATATATATATAATATGTATATAAACAATACTATAAAATAACTATAAACAATACACGCGTTAGTAAACAATTAAGACAATCAGTTAAGATAGTTTAGTGCTAGGCTAATTTATAGTAATTTTATCATTTATTTTACTTATCTTTTGAATATATTGACATGTGTAGATTACATTTTAATACTGAACCTACCAAGCCGGTCAAAATGACCAGTCTCACATTTTGTATTTCAAAATTGCTAGAATTATAAAGTCTCTACCATAAGAAATTATCGAATAAATTTCTTAATCCAGGTATATTTGTTCTAATAAAAATTCTGGAACGTCTAAATAAATTCAGTCTTATTCTTACAGAGCAACACACAATCTTCGCTTTCAGTGCTCGGTAGGTTTAGTATCAATACACAAATCACAAAAAAGGAGTTACGCCATCGTGATTCTAACCCATTCGATCGATGCGGATCGTGTTTATTTCGCACGAAGATCCGCGGCCTAAATATCAACGTCTCGAAAAATACAGCGAAAGATCAACTGGTATCGACAAGTATCGATGGGTATCGACGCGGTATCAGCCTCGACACTACCTGAGAGACTCCCTCGTGCAGAACTTCACGATGCAGGCGAACCCGTTGTCGTTCCAAAATCCGTACTGGTCGCAACGATACGGATTGTACAGATACCAGAACAGGTTGTCCTTCCAGAAGGCCACGCAGAACCGCGAGGTTCGGTAGATGCAATTCCGGTACCGTATCTTCAGCTTATCGAACCAATCCTCGAGCTTCTTCAAGCCTTTGTGGACCGGCGTCCGTTGATCGTCCGTCATCTTCTCCGCGCCCAGCTCCAGCTGAACGTTCATCAGGTTCTTCCGCTCCAGCTTTCGCTTCCTCGCCAAGTTCGGCTCCTCGTAGTCGAACCCGACGCCGGTTATCACCGGCACGTCGTTCAGCTCGCGGACCAGTTCGATCTCGATGCTGTACTTGTAATTGTACACGACGATGTCGTCCAGCCGGTGTTTCGCGTTCACGTTGGTCATGCCCATGTGCGTGTACAACATCCACGCGTGGTCGTAGATGTAGTCGATATTGGCGCTCCACGCGTATTTGTATCTGAGAACGAGGGGCGGGGTGTTAAGGCCAACGCGTAAGCTCGCATTGTTCTAGGTGTTCGATGAACGTGGACCGATGAGGGACCTAAGTGTGACCTTAGGTGACTTGATTGTAAGAGGACGAGAAGAAGATAAAAAGCGAACAACTTTCAATTTACACGGCTTACTGTTTAAACATTGAATTCGGGTAATCGAATGACAAATAACAAGAAGAAAATACTGTACGTCGGTGAGAATAGTTCAGTTTTAACCCTTAGCGCTCCACGCGTTTCTCGAGTACTACCTACCAGCAACTCCGACACATTTTTGGAGCAAAGCGCCCGAGATAAAGGAAGACTTATTTTGAGCGGAAAAGATTACGCGTCCTTGCGATTTATTCATTTTATGTTGTTAAGTATAAAAATGGGCAAAAAGTGTTTTAATCGTAATGGTATCTACTTAACCTTGACATCCTCATCGAAATGGGTAAATTTACTATTAACAATATTCTTCGCAATTCTTAAATAAATATATCCCTCGGGTTCTTGGGCGCGATTCATTATAAAATTAGCATTGCGAATCGTCTGTTGAATTCTATTTGGATACGGAATTATTGAAACAAAAATATCTTTTGCGCGAGTTTGCCGGAATTTTTGTATTGTTAATCTTCGCTGGAATCGGCTCAATTAATGATTAAATTAAATTAAAAATTAGTAAATATTCTTCGGACGTTCTAAAATAAAGTTGAACAGCGTTTTTCTGAAAAATATCACTACCAGCAACTCCGGCACATTTTTGGAGCAAAGCGCCCGAGATAAAGGAAGTCTTATTTTGAGCGGAAAAGATTACACGTCCTTGCGAAAGCGTTTGATTTTATTCATTTTATGTTGCTAAGTATAAAAATGGGCAAAAAATGTTTTAATCGTAATGGTATCTACTTAACATTGTGCGAGGTCGGTGCATCGACATCGTGAATTGTGACCGAAATTTCCAAGCAGCAAATGCATCCTCATCGAAATGGGTAAATTTACTATTAACGATATTCTTCGCAATTCTTAAATAAATATATCCCTCGTGTTCTTTGACGCGATTTATTATAAAATTAGCATTGCGAATCGTCCGTTGAATTCTGTTTGGATACGGAATTATTGAAACAAAAATATCTTTTGCGCGAGTTTGCCGGAATTTTTTTATTGTTAATCTTCGCTGGAATCGGCTCGATTAATAATTAAATTAAATTAAAAATTAGTAAATATTCTTCGGACGTTCTAAAATAAAGTTGAACAGCGTTTTTCTGAAAAATATCCCTACCAGCAACTCCGGCACATTTTTGGAGCAAAGCGCCCGAGATAAAGGAAGTCTTATTTTGAGCGGAAAAGATTACACGTCCTTGCGAAAGCGTTTGATTTTATTCATTTTATGTTGCTAAGTATAAAAATGGGCAAAAAATGTTTTAATCGTAATGGTATCTACTTAACATTGTGCGAGGTCGGTGCATCGACATCGTGAATTGTGACCGAAATTTCCAAGCAGCAAATGCATCCTCATCGAAATGGGTAAATTTACTATTAACGATATTCTTCGCAATTCTTAAATAAATATATCCCTCGGGTTCTTGGGCGCGATTCATTATAAAATTAGCATTGCGAATCGTCCGTGGAATTCTGTTTGGATACGGAATTATTGAAACAAAAATATCTTTTGCGCGAGTTTGCCGGAATTTTTGTATTGTTAATCTTCGCTGGAATCGGCTCAATTAATGATTAAATTAAATTAAAAATTAGTAAATATTCTTCGGACGTTCTAAAATAAAGTTGAACAGCGTTTTTCTGAAAAATATCACTACTAGCAACTCCGGCACATTTTTGGGGCAAAGCGCCCGAGATGAAGGAAGTCTTATTTTGAGCGAAAAAGATTACGCGTCCTTGCGAAAGCGTTTGATTTTATTCATTTTATGTTGCTAAGCATAAAAATGGGCAAAAAGTGTTTTAATCGTAATGGTACACGCGCTAAGCACGTTTTCACTACAAATAACAATTGCCAACATCGACAAAAACATAGCATCTTCGGTGTAATCATGCTAAAAATATTGGGCTCCGCAGCAGAGCCTTCGGATTTACGGAACAAATGACGTATGTCTCCATAGCGGAGCCAACGGAGCGCTAAGGGTTAAAGTTGAAATAACCTCGAGTGTGTGCAAAGGATTGAAACGACGAAACGGTACCTAAGCTGGGTCTTAGCCAGAAGGGCGACGATGGCCTGGTAAAAACAGAACTTCCACGTTTTCCGACGCTGCCGAAACAGGCCCAGTTCGGGCAAATGCATGCCAACCAGCCCGTGTATGCAAACATCGGCATAGATCCTGGCGATCTTCCCCTTCGACGGTAACTCGAAAACGATATAATCGCCGTCGACTAATCCCGGATTTTCGCCGGCAGCACGATCGACCTGCAGCTCTTTGACGGGCGTTGGACAAACCGGCGGTATCCTCGCGTGGCCTAATTCCTTGCGATCGGAATAGTCGTTGCCGGTATCGTCGAAGCCATCCTTCTCGTCGTCGGGTTCGCACGGAAACAAGTCTTTCCTCCGCTTCCGTTCTTGTCTGCGACGTTCCCTCATCTCGGCCACCAGGTTCCGTTTAGTGCACGGCCATAGCCCCGGCCATTTACCACTGTCCGTCTTCTTCACTTCTGTGTGCACGTTCACGTCTGACTTCGATATGTGCACCTGAAAGGTTCGAATGCTTTGCCAGTTATAAATCGATCTTTCGCTGTATTTCTCGAGACATTGATTTTTAGACCGCGGATCTTCGCGCAAAATAAACATGACCCGCATCGATCGAATGGGTTAGAATCAGAATGGCGTAACTCCTGTTTTGTGATTTGTGTATTGATACTAAACCTACCGAGCACTAAAAGCGAAGTTTGTGTGTTGCTCTGTAAGAATAAGACTGAATTTATTTAGACGTTCCAGAATTTTTATTAGAACAAATATACCTGGATTAAGAAATTTATTCGATAATTTCTTATGGTAGAGACTTTATAATTCTAGCAATTTTGAAATACAAAATGTGAGACTGGTCATTTTGACCGGCTTGGTAGGTTCAGTATTAAAATGTAATCTACACATGTCAATATATTCAAAAGATAAGTAAAATAAATGATAAAATTACTATAAATTAGCCTAGCACTAAACTATCTTAACTGATTGTCTTAATTGTTTACTAACGCGTGTATTGTTTATAGTTATTTTATAGTATTGTTTATATACATATTATATATATACATATAATAACACTTATTGTTTTTTCACAGTGAGAAAAATGTGACTTGCGCCATTATCATTCTAACCCATTCAATGCAAGAAATAGAAACCACATATAGTGTTATTCTCTTCTTCGATCATTTCAATCGATCGAAAATGATTCGGAATTTTTAATTCCATTCGATCTCCTTACCATTTTAAATTGTATATGCTTCACTTGATTACAAATACGTAAAATCCGCAATCCATTGGTTAGGGAACAATAGAGAAATAATGTGACGACTTTAGTTGGCTTATTTTTCAAAGTCTCTGCGATCGAACTAACTGGATTGGTCGGAGATATTTACGAACCGGGTGATTCGCTCGCATGTTCTTCCATATTCGGACCATTTTCGAGCGATCCATCTTATTCGGCAAGTCCTGTTTGTCCTGAAACTGGAACGCGTTAAGGGGCAAGCATTTGTGTGGGGTCGCTAAGTCTTCCTCCGATTGAACCCGAGGAAACTTGCTGATTGTTGCCGGTTTCCTGTGCTTGAATATGTCGTCCCTCTCCTGTTGCACTTGATCTTCCAAGAATCTAAAACAACGATATATAATTATTTTGTTTATTTAACCATTTTATTATGTAGACAACATCAACGCCTAAAACTATACATTTTTTATTTTCACCGTTTCACATTTTTTATTTCATAGTTACTGATGTCGTAAAGCTGCTTCCATTATAAATTGTTGAATATATTTCTTTGTGCACGCACATAAATATTATAAGTATTATAAAAGTATTGCAAAAGTGATATACAGAAATTGTGAAAAATTTAAATAGACACAATCACATATCATTTATATGACACTTGTTAGTCGCTTTTAGACCTCGGTAGGTTTAGCGTCAATGTATTTTTTATACTTATCCCAGAGACGTTGGTCTATCCACTGTTCCTTTCTTTTTTATTGGTCAGTGTTAACCTCCATAAAGAGGTTATTTTGCAAATCCGGATACATAGATATGCACAAAACGTAGTCGCTTCAAATTTATTACATCATATCATATCTTTTTCTTTTTGTTTTTTTTTGTTGCTTAATATGTATGTAATGTGTACTGCTTAATATTCTGAATTGAACAGTAGAAAGAGTAAGTAGCAAGTAGTCTATTATAATTGGAAATTAGAAACCAAAACTTGCTTATTACAGCAAAATGTTCATTTGCTTTCATGGAAATATTTTTGCGAATATCTCAGAGTCGAACGAGAATCGCCAAATATTTCTGTTTGCCACCATTCGCATCATTTTCTTACGCGTTCATGAAGATCTCCCAGTTCGGCATGTTATCGCATTTCCATCTTTTCTCCATGCACTTCTCCATCGAAAACGGTTTTCTCTTCTTCTTCTCCTTCTTCTTCTTTGGAACCGTGCTGACCGCGGCTTCCGATTTCGTCTTGCTCGCCGCTGCACTCACGGTGCTCGGTGCATCGGTGTCTGCTTCATCCGTGTCCGCGGCATCGGTGCCCGAAAAATCGGGTTCCGCGGCGTCAGGTTCCGGAGCATCGGTGTCCGGTGCATCAGTGGTAGTGTCATCGGCATCGGTCGTAATATCTTCCTGCTCGTCGTCGGCCATGTTTGCTCAGCCCGATGTATTTTACGCGATCACATTTACCATGGATTTGCCAAATAATTCATATTTCCGACGAAATAACGGCACGAAGCGGATCATTGCATTCGCGTTAATGAAATTCCGTACTTTGCAATTTAACGAGAACGAGTCTAGTCGATAATATTATTCGACTAGATCATCGCGGCTCCCGGAATACTTTCGTCACGCGGTAAATACCATTGGCGATGATTTCGATCGTAATTTCCAATTCCGGGTGTAACCCGATAACGATAAGCCGCGCGTGACATTTGAATATTCCACGGCACGGTCTGAATTCGCCGGCGATACAACCCTGCGCTGCTTTTTTCGCCGATCGTCTGGCCTGATTAAAAAATAACTTCGCGCGGTACAATAAATTCTCCGCAATTGACGCTCAGATTGCGCACGATAATGGGCAATTTGGGAAGAGGAGATACGATTATCCGAGCCCTGCAGCATGAGCTGGACGAAAATTTCTTTCGTCTATTAACCCTTAAATGCATGATTTTTTGTTTTGAATGTTAAAAAATCGTTTTTTATAGGAATGTAGTCATAGGTTACGTAAAAAATAAATGAAAAAATCTAGGTAATAATATTGAGTAATTATTTTGAAAAAAAGTTGTATGGAGACTTTTGGCAACAATATGCGTTTATTACTAAAATTATTGTAGACGTAAACAAATGGTCATGTATTTATATAATCTATTAGTATAGGAATTTTCACATTATTTATAAATGAAATGCAGCAAAGCAATTGCGATTTTTGTTGTGACACAAAGCAATTTTTAACCTCGAAAAAAGAAAATATCTCTGCAAGTAACACATTGAAGGTTATCACCCACCACATTCAAATGTCAAAAAACATATAACTTACTCGCCAAAAGTAATGTCAAGTCTTTTATTTCACACATGGTCTATTGTCTATTGTTATCAACGTGTGTTCGGAAACGCGCATATTCAGGTTTTTGAATAAAATTAAGTGGAACTGGAATGTGGACAATTGGCAACAATATGCATTTAAAGGTTAATAATTGTAATATGTCAAAAATAATTTTTGTCAGAAAAGCATAAAATCCACGGTCCAATTTCATTTCACATTGCGTAGATTTGAAGTGAACTTTCCGAACAACCTAATACGTTGTATAGTTTGGTTCTAAGCAATTAATTCATTGAAACGAACTGTATGAAACTTTCGACAAATTTTCCGAACAATCTGATAAGTTAGATTTTCAACCAAACTATATACAGTAATGTCTCCCTAATTGGCGCCGAAATTGTGCAGCAAAATCGGCAATTTGGGAAGAGGAGATACGATTATTCGAGCCTCGCGGCTCGTTTTTTATAGTTGTTACATCGAATATGTTATACGTTATATCGAATAATCGTATCTCCTCGTATCGTATCCCCTAAATCGTTCATTTTTGTGTACAATCTGAACGTCGATTAGGAAGAATTTACTGTATTTCGATCGTTTCGCCGAACGTCCCTAGCCGCGCGATAATACTCGCCCACTGTTCACGTTATTGGAAGCTGTGATACGGACGAAGTGCCCTGCATTACACCAGCTTTTAGTAATTTAGACATTCCACTTTAGACTTGTAACCAGACTGCGGATTCTTATGCAAAATAAACATTATTTTCATTAACACTAAACCTACCAAGCAATAATAGTACATTGAGGACATTGCTTCATACGAGTAATAAGATCGAATTTATTTAGATTTTGTAAAGTTTTTATTATAAAACTTGCTCCAATAATGTAATTTATTCAAGCATTTTTCATGAAAGAGTCTCTACAGTTTGTAGAATTGCAAAATAAGAGAACGGTTATTTTGGCCGCGGTAGGTTTAATATTAATTACAAAATACAGAAACTATATAGACATTTATTTCTTTTCTTAATCATTCTAACGGAGTCCGCAGTAATACAATATTACTTTCAAATTGTATAAATGTGTGTGTGCTATTTTGTATTTGATTTATTCATTACAATCACCAGAAAGTAATAATGGAAGGACGGATAAAATACAAAAACTTAAAACTAAGAGAGAAAAAGAAACTTAAATATGAAGAAACAAATATACATGTAGTATAATTTGACTATGCGAGATGAAGACGAACGGCGAAATTGGCACATTGGTCTAGCAATTTTGCAGCATTACGTCAATTGAACGAATCGAAGACAGTTCCTTCTTCTTCTTTGTCGCTGCCGAAACAGTCCAAAATTGTTCGAGTAGAGACAGAGACGATGTTGTATCGAATGTATCATAATCGGACTGCACGATCGTAACTAAATTGCAATTATAAATACATAAAATTCGCAGTCCAACGACAATATCTATTTTAAATGTTATCAACGTTACCTCGATGATTTAAGAAAGTGGAAATAATAAAATAAAATGCAAATTAACACTTCCACGACCGCGCTAGAAATCTGAAAAATTTTCATAAAATTAAAATATTTCATTCAATTCAACAAAAATTACGAAGCAAACTTATGTGGCATAAATTACTTCTTCAGCGTTCGTACCTCTTGCAAATCTTAATAAAATCAAGCAATCGTTTTTAATTTTTCACCAATCATCTTTTTTCTATCATTTTTCACTATCATCCATTCTATCATCAGTCGATTGAATTTAACACATTGCGGACGGGGCTCTGCGCGTTCAACACGCCCTCAAAGACCGCACATTTTCGAACGCTCCAAAAACATGCTTGGCAAGTAACAGGAAGCGGATACGCACATTTCTAATTTGCATTTAGTATTCTTAAATAATACTATATATACATAGTTTATATATCTGTTTATTATATAAGATTTTTTACATTTTAACTATTATTTATTATACAAATTTGAATATTGATTTAGAGTGGCTATAATGACTGATCATTTCTACATGCTTGGAATGATTCATTTGTTTCGCTAAAATTACTTAGGAATGCGGGAGGCTTCGTTACTATGGTTACGTAACAGAAATATTTGCGGCTGGTTGCTTGTTGCCGATTAAATAAAAAAAACATGAAAACGAGATATCTCGTGAGCCGTCCGCAATGTGTTAAAACGCGGAGATCTCCCCATTCGGTTGGCTAAGTGTTAAGATTCTATTGAAATAATAAAATGCAAAATGTCCGAATTAGCTGCAAGAAATAGAAACTAAGTAGCAAGTTCATTCCTTCTTTAATCATTTTGATACATTAAAAATAAGACATTGACGATTTTAATCTTTTCTTTTTCTATTTTAAATTGCGAACACTCGATTCCGTCATAAATGCATAAAATCCGCGATCTGTCGATGAATAATGTCCGGTAAAAATATTTGCGGGCACCGTGAATAATCTCTTACACACCGAAGAAAATGTGCTGACGAAATCGTTCGTTTCCCGTGTCGACGCGGTTTACGCTCGCCGTCGATACAGCGAATTTTACCGTTCGAAACGCGTTTCGGAACGGGCGAGCACGGCGTCGTAGCGGAAGAGCGGGCACGGAAGCTGAACAAATGCGACTTCTCAAGGGGGCTGAAGAAAGATTTAAAGTGTTCCGTTCTGTGATTTTGTAATTATTTTCCCGCGATGTAGACGAAACCTTAAAACGGCAAGCAATCTCAGCGCGGGAAGCCGCACGCCGACGCAAAATTTTCAAAGTGTTTATAAAATTACGCCGATACACGGAGGAAATAGGATGAAACCTTAGTCGCATGGTAATATTCGGATCATTATTGGATTTAGGAGCCTCGCGCATGCCGCATAAACAAATCCTGCTGCCGTATCGCGCCGTACGAGAAATCACAATTACAGTAATGTCTCTCTAATTGACGCCCGGATTGACCACAAAAATGGACAAATTGGGAGAAGAGGAGATACGATTATTCGAGCCTTGCAGTTTATTTTTATAGTTATAAATTGTCCACAATTATAAAAACGAGCCGCAAGGCTCGAATAATCGTATCTCCTCTTCCCAAATTATCCATTTTAGTGGACAATCTGTGCGTCAGTAAGGGAGACATTACTGTACATTTAACAGCGAAGCTCGATGATCCTTGAATCGCCCGACATCGAAGAGTACAGTGGACGAAATTTGTACGAAATTTGTACTACGATTTACTGAAAAAAGTTAATCCGCTGTATACATTTTCATTGGTACGTTTACTGCGAAGCGATGTTGTAAACAAACTCCGGATTTCCGGAGTGTGTAAACACAGATTCAAGAATATATACCGAGGTAGTATAATAGCATCATTGGCATCAAAAACACATCGTCCGCAATTCAGAAAATATCAGTACGTATTAGGAGCGTTTAATATTTTATTTTGCAAATAATTGAAAACAATTCCTCATCTACTAGAATGCCACGAGGAAAAGTCCAAAGTTCGGAAGAACGAATAGAGAAATGGAACTATATCATGACACGGGACTCTATCTTCGACAATTTATAATTTTTTACAGCTTGACGGAGACCATGGCAAAAACCATGCCGTGGTGATAATAATAAGCTGGCATGGTGTGATCGTTCACGAATTTTTTTTTCGCGAAATAAAAATTGGAAATAAAAGTTCTAACGAAGTAAAAGAAAAAACTTTAGACTCTTCAGTGACTGTACGACGGTTGCGGCAGATACTGCAAAAAGATAAGCGACTGCAATGGACAAAAGAAAAAAACAGTGAAACCACCCCTTACGAAACACCACAAATGCGCAAGATTGTATTGCGCTCGAAATCATATGTTCTTGGATGCAGAATGGAGAAATATTATATTTTCTGACGAGAAAAAAATATTATAAACATTATATATATCTTGTATACCAAAAAGATGTTCTTTTATATTTGTAATATCGTTTTTTTATTTTTTACAGTCCGTCAAAATGTTCAACTTACTTTTAACGTCGGCGACAGAGTACCAAGTTCCTTTTATTAAAAAAATAGTAGCGTCGTTCGCTGTAGAACAATTCGGTGGAATATTTCGTTTGTCGGTTTTAATACCGCTTAGACCCCAATAGTCGGCAACGATTGTTCAGTTTCTTTTAACAGTCGAAGTCACTATCGAAATAATCGTTTTCCTTGCAATCCTATCGTTCGCAGTCCATGACACAGATGCTGCGTCTTCAGCCACTGGGAACAAACAACAAATGACGCAACCATTGCGTCATCGGTCTTAAATGTGTTAAGCGGTGTGCACGGTATTTTTAATGTTGTTGCCACGTTCAAGTAAACTAAAATGCCTAAGGTTCCTTACCATGAGAACATTTAATATTTCTTCAATGACAACTAAATAATTATTT